CATTCTCACTTTGTTTCTTAGGGGCATCATCACACAGTGGAACACGCATGGTCTGAAGGCCCAGTTTCTGTCCCCACTTGCCTGTGTCAGAGATCTTTTCCATTATTCAGTGTGTGAAAGAAATTTCAACATTTCCAAAGTTGTTTTTAAGTATATAATATAATACTCACACAGAAATTTGCATAAATATGAACAATCCAAGGAAGCATTACAAGGATATCACATGTGTAGCCCTTAGTCAGGTCAAGAGAATCTAAGTTTCTACTGGTTGGTACCCATTGGCTCCTTTCTGAAAGTAACTGATTTTCTGATTTCTGACACCATAATTGTAAACTTTATAAAGAGGAAATATTATATATATATATTTTGTATCTGATGTCTTTTTCTGAATATTTGCTTCTGAGAGTACTCTCTGTCATTGTACACAACTATAGCCCATTCATTTTTTGCCATGTTATGGTTTTATATTTCATAAAAGAGAATTTTTAGGAGACCACTATAGTTTATTTACAATTATACTATATTTGATAGATAAGGACTTTTTTGAGTTATGTTTCAATGGTGGAATATAAAATTTTTTCTCTGAAATAAAAAGTATCCAATACTCTCACTCTTCATTTCAACATTACAATGTGGGTATTAGACAGTACAATGGATAGCAAGATGACTGTACAGATTAGAGAGGAATGAGGAGCACCTTACTATTATATATGGCTGTGTATGCAGAGAATCCATTAATTATTTTCATTAACGTATGTTTAATACTTGTTTAGCAAGATTAATAGTCAATTAAAATTCAACTAAAATCTATGAAAATTTAAAATTTATTTGAAAATTTGGTAAAAAATCAACTATATCTCTTTATATCAAGAATAGTATAGGGAATAAAGTTAAAGTATATGTAGATTTTCTGCAACTACCTAAACATGAGGAGAATCTGGATGAGTGCTTCCATATTATGAAAATTCTGAATGATCTTTAGAAGTTTCTGAAAGCTAAAATTACCTCCAAAATCTCTTTAAAATAAATTTTAAATACATCTGAGTATGGTAGCACATACCTATACTGCCAACAGTTGGGAGACGAATGTAGAAGAATCATGAATCCAATGTCAATCTGAGTTTTGTTGAGTTTTTGTCCTAAAAAAAAATCAATCAATTAATTAATAATAAATACACATTCATAGATAATTTATAAACATATCATAAAATATAACAAATACCTAGAATAATTCAAGTCATGAACCTGAACATTAAAACTTTAAATATTTTTGGACACATTAGCAATTGTCTACCTTTATCAATGTATTCACAGTTACACATGGTGAAGATTTCATTTGTGTTGCTCAAATCTTAGACGGTCTTTTAATTAAAGAAAAAAAACAGAACCAGATATCAGGGTGAAGGCTTAAAGACCAGAGAAGCAGAGCAAGCCACAGCCACCACCTCACTAACTCCACGAATCCTCTGACTGAAATCCTCTGAATCTTCACACAAGAGGGTCTCAGCTGAAATGATTGAGTTCCTATTTCCTCATGCCTTATATACGTTTCTCTACCCTGTTGTCACTTGCTGGGATTAAAGGTGTGCATGCTTCCCAGTACTGGGATTAAAGGTGTGTGCCACCACTGCCTGGCTCTGATTCCAGTGTGGCCTTAAACTCACAGAGATCCAGATGAATCTCTGCCTCCTGACTGATAGGATTAAGGGTGTGTGCCACCACTGTCTGGCCTCTATGTCTAATCTAGTGGCTGGCTCTGTCCTGTGATCCTCAGGCAAGCTTTATTATGGTACACAGTATATCACCACACATTTGTCCCAAATTAAGCTAAAATTTAATTTTTATAGTTAAAAAATATCATTCTATTTGTATTCCAGCTACTGCTTTTAAAATATTTTTGAATTTTCTTTTTTATTAATTTATTTTTAATTAACATGTAATTGCATCATTTCCCACTGCTCTCAGACTTTCCCCACCACCTCTCAGATTCCTGGCTTCTAAGCCTCCCTCTCCCACTAGTAACTGTCTCTAGCTGGTGTTTTGAAATCGCTGCAGTCCTTGGAAATCATGTGACAGATGACACTGAACAAGCATCTGAAGTTTGTCCACACAATACCTTGATTTTATGTAGAAGATATGAAGAATAAGTTTCTCTATCACGGAGCCTAAATCAGCTTAAGAAATGGTTATGATTATATTTTACACATAGAAAAAAAATGATCATTTGTTAGCTTTTTGTGTCCATGGGTTACATTCAATTTATAAAATTTATCTTAATAACATCATGAAAATTATCTTTATTTAATGGAGTTGCTCAGTAGACAGCATGATGGGCATGTAAGAGTTCTCCCATCTGGATCTGCCTTATCTTACTGTAACCCTTTGTATGCAAAAGCACTCTGTGTGCTTACATTTCTTTTTTATCTCTTAGTAATTCTAGTCTCAATAGCCAATGTTTTTGCTACATCTTATTGGCCAAACTAAATACCTAATATAGCTTTACCATGTATTCTCATATTTGCTCCAAACTTATTAAAATGACTATTTACTTAGTATTATTTCAATACTTACTTATTAGATTACTTATAATGACCAGTACTCAGTACTCATCAATATTATTAAGTGGATACTTCGATGTGATGGTTTTGTTACCCATAATTCTGAGTGATTAAGTCAACTAATTCTCTAAAAAGAGAAAACACACACACACACACACACACACACACACACACACACACACACACACACACACACACCTCTACCTCAATTCTGTGGTCCCTTCATACAAGTTTTTAATTTTAGGAAAACAGCCATACACGCGCTTGCTTTCTTGCCGGTGGAAAGACTACTGCCCATTGCCTTCCCTGCACTGCTGCTTGATGGGAAATAAAGAGCCCACACTGAGAACGCTCTGAATCCAGCCCTGTCTGTGTGTGCACACTCAAAATGAAACAAATTGGGGCAATTTACTGAAGGTTAAACCCTCAAATGACATTCACCTAAAACATGCAGGGAAATGGTTTGAGAGGCTTAAATGATCAATTTAATTTCCTTAATTCTCTGAGTTGCTTTTAGAAGTAGGCACAACTTTATCCATCACACTGAAAACTCTAAATTGTGGGTTTAGATGTGTTTGTGTTTTCATACTCAACACGCCGAACCACATATACTTTCTATATTACCCAGGACTTAAAAACAAGCCCACAGACCTCAGTGTGCTCCAGTTACAAAATTGGGGTTTTTGCATTTGTGATCTGCCTCTAGTTTTCTCTCCAGCATCTAGCACCATTCAGTTTGTCAGCAATTTTTTAATCTGAAGTCACAAGGAAGATTTTTTGGAAGAACTGACTGTCAATCTTGCGCGTAAGTTCTAACATGAAGCGGTGTTCCAAAACATTTTATTGCTATTAGAAACGATTTCTCCCTAGGTCCTGAGAAAGACGTGAATGGGAGGAAGGTTTGTGTATGAGAAAAGTGGCCCTTTCAACCCTGTCTGTACTTCAGAAAACATTTTCCAAGAACCCTGCAGCTTATGGTTCAGTCAGCCTCTGAGACAAGAGGGCATCACCAGGATGACGTATTCTTAAAGACACACTCTGAAGTACCGATTTTTTAAAAAATGACTTTAACTAAGTTTAAGTGTTTACGCTTTCACAACCTTTCGTTGATGCTGAGTTGGTGCAGCTCCTCTTCTAAACTGTACTGCATCTAGACCTTTTGTTGTTTTAAAGCTTTCTCTTTGGCAGCTAAGAAAAACACTCTACAAAGTTATATTTAGTGAATTTACTCATGTATAAATATCCCCGAGCTACACTGTTATCCTGTGGCATCTGGAAGAAAGGTGCTATTGTTTTCAATCCCATGATTGAAGTATAGAATAATCAACTCCAAGAGACCCTGGGGGTGAGATTCACTCACATATGCTGTGGAAATTTATTCCTTAGTTTTGTTTTTGTTTTTTGGGTTTTTTCTTTTTGTTTGTTTTTTTTTTTTTTTTTTTTAGTTTTTCCTCCAGATGAAGAAACTTGGATGAGTGTGCTTTGGTCCGTCTGCTGACAGCAGTTCCTGGGCATGCCACTCTATTTAACCACCACTTCTTATTTGAGGCTATTAACTTGAAGTTTCCTAGGAAAGCAGCTTTTTTTAGGATTCATTGTCTCACAGCTATTGTTTGCTTGCTTTCTGGGTTCCCAAAACTAGATGGTTATTTTCTTTGTGACTACCCTACCCCACAGTACATTTATCACCATGTGTTTAGGATCTGTGTCACCAGACTTGGTTCTAACAGAGATACTCAATAAATTATCAGAAGCTCTGCTGCATTTCTTGCAATGTTTGCTGAATTCCTCCATGAAAAATCGGGGTAATTCCAGAAGATCATGATAGATTTGCACGGAAGAAATTTATCCCATGCTTGAGGCTGACGTGAGCATGAGCGTGGTTTTGAATAAAGTAGATGTTAAGTGGAACTGTGTTATTTTTTACCTCTGGCTTCTTCAATACATTTTTTATTTTGCTGCTACTTTATTCAAAGAATAAGAACAAATGCCTCATGACTATCCACCAGGAAGTGTTTAGTGTTTAGAACGATTACACGTAAAAGCACCTGCTGAAACACAAATAACAGACTGTCCATCTGATACAACTTCCCTGAGAGTTTGCTTGCGGGCCCCAGCTGCAGAGACCCTCATGATGGAATTTGGTTTGTGAGAAAGCTACAAAAAATTACACAAATAACTCAGATTTTAAATGACTGACACACAGATGTGCACCTGCTTCGGGGCCTTCATACATTAATCTTGTGACCAATAGAAAAGCTCCTTGGAATTTAATCATATGGACACAAAATATAGCTGACTACACTTAGGGACCTGATGTCAGCAAAATGTTAAGCAGTTCTTGGAGCAGGTTCCTGAGGATGAGCCTGTTCATGTGCTTTGCTTCTGTGCTACTCACTGTTAAGTCATGTTCTGCCCATGTTCTTCCTCCTGTGTTTGCAGCTGGGCCCTCTTGAGGAAGATGTCCTCCACCAGACCCCAAACACGAATGCTGCCGCTTCTTTACAGAGGATCACTGAAATCCAAAGTATGTCTTCAGTTTCTTTTTCATCCTTAACTAGGTCACATTCACTGGGATTATATTGTGAATTAAAGCACAAAGAAACATAATCATTTTAATTTGCACATATATTTTATTGAAATGTCTTGATTTACTGCCTGTGATAGTCTTATCTTGCACTGGTGTCATAACTCAGAATCTAGACTTAGAATCTTGTTTTTCTCATACTTTGTACACAATTAAGATTGTTTCAAACACCAAGCACTGACCTAGAGCAACTAACTAAATTTAGAAACTGTGACTGTGTAGACTGTGTAGTGGTTTTAACTAGGAGTAAGTCATCTCCTAAATGTGTTCGGACTTGGCAATCATGCCCTAGCTTTACATTTGGCACGGAAGGAAAATGAATGAGAAAGTCTCATTATGAGAAAGTCCTACTTTGGCAAACACGGTAAGGTGGTCTTTTGATTAGGCAGTTACCTTCATAGACATCAACATTCCCCACTATAGATTAACAGGAAGGTTAGCACAAAGACAAATGCCACATTGCAAAAGTGAGTTCTAAGGATGGTCACGGAAGCCCTTAGCTTTGCAGATTTTCCATGGACGCATGTTTCCACATTACTGAAAAACCTTTGTCATATCTTAGAGTTGGTCTTCCTTTGCACAGCAGCGACCAGGAGATAAGGGTGTGAGTGGTGTTGTATTACCATTCTTTTGGTACCAGGAATATCATACACAAACTCAAAATAAACCTTCACTGAAATCTCACACATGCCTGGAATGTGCGCTATAGGTATTCATTAAATCTTATTGACTACATGTAACTGTGGAATGAATTTCAAAGCGATGAATTTCAAATATTTTCAGAGGACAGAAAAATAAATGTTTAAATACTGGAGAGGAAAGTTACTGGGATAAAGCTAAGGTACTGGAGTTGGCTGCCTCCAAAGACAAGCTTGGGGAGGCTCTTCTGCTCTAGTAAAAAGGCTTGCTCAGGTCTGACTCCTGTTTTGAGAGGAGATAAGGAGGGTCACTTAGAGGGACTCTTTGGGTGATCTCTGCCAGGCCTCTTCTGTTCAGCCAGATCTTATCCAAAGTCCCTGCATAGGATATTGACAGTATAAAGAGAGCTCAGTCTTCATGTGTGTAGTTTTCTTTTTCTAAGGATTCTTTGGCCATTATACTCACAGAGTGTTCATATAAAATTCTTCCTGTGTATCTTCAGAGTATAACACTGACACTACAACATGCATTTAAGAATGGCTTTGTTATGTGTTGATCAGTCATAAAGTTCAGGAAAAAGGAGAGGGAAGAGAGGAAGAGGAGAAGAAAGACAAAGAAGAGGAGAATGGTGGTGGAAGAGTCTCTGGCTTCAGGGATTTCACCTTCCAGTTGGTGAAGGAATATAAAATGTCTAACTCCAGCTCAGGGCTCCCTGGAGACACTGAGGCCATGGCAAAGGGGCAGCTTCTTTCTTCAGCAAAGAAGAGACTTGCATTGTCAAGCTTAGACTCAAGAGGAGGTAGACCTGAGGAGCTGCTTTTGGAACCAGTCTTCTGCTATAATGTACCAATGCTTACATCAGCTCTTAGTGAAGAACTCATGGTCTATCCTCTCACCTATTCAGTCTGGATTTATTCATGAATTCTTACTACCTAATAACATGCAAGTCCAGGAAGATTAACTTAGCCCTGGCTTAATGGGAGCTGTTCTTAGTCTTAGGCCAAGCCAGGCAACCTATTTAATAGCTGTTGCTTAAGGAAAGGGTGTACAATCTTTCCTCTCTCTCTTCCATGGGACTCCCAGAGCTTGCCAGGGCAGGGGTCAAGGTCATGACAGGGGAACCACAGAGACAGCTGACCTGAGCATGTGGGAGCTCACAGACCCTGGACCAACAGCTAGGGAGCCTGCATGGGACTGACCTAGGCCCTCTGCATGTGGGTGACAGTTGTGTAGCTTGGTCTGTTTGTGGGGTGCCTAGCAGTGGGATCAGGACCTGTCCCTGGCACTTGAGCTGGCTTTTGGGGATCCAGTCCCCAAGCTGGATTGCCTTGCCCAACCTTGATGTAGGGAAGGAGCTTGGTCCTTCCTCAACTTGATGTGCCATGCTTTGTTGACTCCCATGGGAGACCTGCCACTTTCTGAATGAAGATGGAGGAGGAGTGGAGTGGGAGATAGGAAGGAAAGGGAGAATAGGAGGAGAGGAGGGAGGGGAAACTGTGGTGGGTGTGTAAAGTAAATGAAAAAAAATTAAGAAGAAATGGTGTATTTCACAATCTGGCCAGAGAGAATTGAGCTTCATGGCCCTTTGGCCTGGGGTCATGTAGGCTCCATTCTTGGAATGGCCCATGTTTATGTCAGTATTCTTGCTGTTGCTGCCTTGAAATTCTTAGTATTTTTAATAAGAGGCCCACATTTTCCCCTGTGCCTTTCAAGTAACATAACCAATTCCACTGACAAAATTCTGATGATAAAAATAACTACTAAAAAAGAGTAATAGAAGTATCATCCACACTGGAATTAGACCATGGTTTAGAAGGAATGAATGGTGTTGGAATGAGGTAGTAACCAAGTCTGGAGGTGATGTCTCAGCATGGGGAGAAGTGAAAACCAGCACAGACTTGGTCCCTCCACACTGGCTGCTCTTTCAAACTGAAGGAATGAGAAGAGAATGAGGCATGCCCATGGAACAACAGATAAAGTGTGTATTTTAGAGTCTGAAACTTCATACTGACTGGGGAAATTAAAAGGATGGGCTTCGAGTTTGATACACAATACTCAGTTAGTTATCTTACAAAATATGGTATATTCTTTTCTTTCCTTCTCCTTGATCCAAATACACTTTTCCAAGCTAAGTGCCCTGGATGACTCTGGAACCTTGACCAGGTTGTCCAATCTGGTTCTATATGGAAAATAGTCAAGCCTGGCTGCATAGCTTTGGGATTAAAAAAAAAAAAAGAAACACATGACCCCTTCCGAAGTTGTTAGAATGTTGCTAAGAATTCTGAGTCCACAGCAGAAAAGTGCTCCAAGTAGGGATCCTTCTGAGGCCATGGACCTCATGCCTAGGAAATGGACCCTAAAAGTAGCCTTTCTTTAACAAGTGTACTATTCTCCATACGTGCCTTTGAGCACCACAGGGGCCTCCTTTCAGCTCAAGGAGGTGTTTGAGTTTTAGCCCACCTCCTAGCCCAGGTTCTGAAGGATTCTTCTGTGCTGCAGTTCAGAGCTATGTAAATGTTGGAAGGTAGGCCTTACCATGTGGGAAGCATTCAGGCACGTTCCTAGAGAGTTCTGTCCCCAGACACACAGCAAGGTGCTGACAGGCCTTCTGTGAATTTCTTCTTGAGAACTGAGGCCCCCAGCTGAGGGTATGCAGGTGCTGGACGCTGTGATTAGCATTGGCCCACTGCCTGGACACATGCCTTTCTGTATTTTGCAGCAGGATCATCCCTGTGGTCCTATTCTTGCTTAGATTTCTCATGCAGCTCAAGAGAAAAGCTTTATAAGGATTCAGAAGGGCAGTCATTTTTCCTGGCAGGTGGAACACCCCCCCATCCTGATATATTACAGGCTACTTACATCTCACGATAATGAATTGTATATAAGGATCAACCGTCTTTTCGAAGAAGTGGGAGTGTATGGAGAACAATATATTTTTTAAAGTTTTATTTTTCCTTTAAAAGTTGAAAGTAAAATTAACATATATTATTTTAGTCATCTTCTGGATATTTTAAAAATAATTTTGCCGGGCGGTGGTGGCATACGCCTTTAATCCCAGCACTCGGGAGGCAGAGATAGGTGGATCTCTGTGAGTTCGAGGCCAGCCTGGGCTACCAAGTGAGTTCCAGGAAAAGGCGCAAAGCTACACAGAGAAACCCTGTCTCGAAAAACCAAAAAAAAAAAAATAATAATAATTTTTTAAAATATCTAAAAATATTAACATTTGCATGTTCATCACAGCACTATTCAGAATAAAACCTGAGTGTCTGTCCGTGGAAGAATGGATAAAGAAATGTGATATATACGGGCAACGGAATAGTATTCAGTCTTGAAGAGGAAGCCCTATAACATGTGCTCATTGAGTTTTACGTCTTTTCACACCACAACTTGTCCCACTGGTGTTTTTGCTTGTTCTCTCTTAATTGCTGAAACTTTTGTGCAGTGTCTGGCATGCACAGGTGCTTTGTAAATATTTTAAAATAAGTTAATAATATTTCTTTATTATTTAGACTAGATTGCTTTTTTAAAGTTAGCTTAATATAAGTATACCTGCCAGGATCCTTGCTACAGAGAATTTAAGAAGAGCAAAAAACCACATGAGAGCATGTTTCTTCCCACGTCACAGCCCACAAGGATGAGTCAGTTCTTCTAGGAAGATACAAAACTACTTTTTTGTGCTGTCATTTCCCCTTCTAATCTTGGAAGAAATGCTTTTCAGAGCTGAGTCTAGGACTTGATGGCACAGCAGTAAGCAGAAACAAGTGTTGCCAGGGAAGTGCTAGCCCAGAGCAGGAAGGAGGACCCTTGTGTGTGCATTCCTTCCTACAACCCATGCTTATAGCTCAGAGTTTCCATGTGACCCTGAAGTTCCCCACGCTTCTGCATGCCATGGTAGGAAGCAAGATCTTCTAGCCATTCTTCTTATACCAGTGCTGGTCCATGGTATCAACTTCACTGGGACTAGGGTGGAACTGAGTTTTCCATAAAATTAAAGTGATTCAGCTTGAAAGAGTAAAATTTTAAGTTCTAAAAACATGTAACAAATGATACTGATTTTCATGTGTGAAACCCCAAAATATGAGAAGTTTAAATACAGAGACATGGTGGTTTCCCTTCATTTAAATTTTTAGTGAAAAAATATTTTTATAAATGACAACCAACTTTGTAGACCTCCTACGTGATAATCACAGTATCTTTAGATTTTAGGATCAAGAAAGTATATGTGTGCCCAAAGATTTGAGAATTCTTTTTTAAAATTGCTACAACCATCTAGTAGTGGTTTGGAGCTGACAAGTTGAAAA